GTATCATGTCAACACAGAACTAGAAAATCAGTTACAGCTCCTAGTAAAAACCACAGCAGACTCTCTAACCGTCCTACACCACCAACTAACCTCTCTAACTCAAGTTACTTTACAGAACCGACAAACCCTTGACCTGCTAACAACCAAAAATAAAAAACCTCTTCCTCAAAAAAAAAAAATTGCTCAAAAAAAAATTACTACTGTATCAACAAATTTAGCCTCACAGAAAAAATATTAACACCTAAGTGAAGACCTATGCAGAAAAAAAACCAAATCAGCAACTCCCCATTCACTTAGTTTCAGTTTCCATTAACCACCTGACTACTTCCCCTTATAAACCCATTTATACTAATTACCATCTTCTTCCTCTTTACCCCTTACCTCCTCAAACTTCTCCAAAGCCAACTTGAAAAATGTCTCGAGTCACGGTGAATCAGCTTCTCTTACATCCTGAAGACCCCAACTTTTCAAACTCCAACCTATGAAACCCCTCTCTCCCTCTCCAACCCCATTCAGCAGGAAGAAGCTAAGAGAATCACGTCACCCATTATCCATTAAAAAAGGTTGGAATGTTAGGCCGAAGCAAACCCAAGCCACCAACATTTCAGTTAGCAGCTTCCTCCGGGTGTCAAGCCCTGATGAGACAGCCTGATAAGACAACCGAAGTGACAGAACCCGCCCAGACTGGAAAGTCCCATGCAGTGGCAAGCTTCCTCTTGTGAAGCCCCCTCATGCTAATTAAGTGCAGACCCATACTAATAGCTAATTGGACCCCACTATTTCCTTAGTGTCCCCGCTTAGGTCCTCCACAAGACTATAAACCCTCCCCTCCCCAGCCAGGCGGTGCGACTTCCCGGGCCCCTCTCAGGGACCCGTGAACCTCGCCCGGGCCCCTCTCAGGGGCCCATAAACCTCCCCCGGAAACTCAGAATAAAAACTTCTCTTTAACCTCACTTTTGTGCATCCTCTTCTCCTTACTGTGGCCTTACAGTGATAGTATTTTCTCTTACTCATGTTATATCTTTAGCATTTATCACACAGCAGGCATGTAGCAAATACTTGATTCCCATATGATGAGTAAGGCAAATTTAGTTTTTAAATTAAAGAAAAGAATTTCTAAATGATGGAAGGAAAGCTTGTCTAGTTACTAAGAGGGTGGATATGACCTGAAAACAATGTCTTTAGGAAACACTGAATGGACTGTATGTAAGATCTGGTTTACTACTTTCTCTCTTCTGCCTTCACCTTCCATATTGTCAGGCACTGCTATCACTTAAAATTATTTATGCCCCTTTCCTTGGAGAGATTTTTAAATAAGGTAAGAATTTTGACTAGGAAACATTTGTTTACATAGAATGTTATCTTTCATGACAAAGATTGCTTTCATGACAAATATCGCTATCTTCAGAGCTGCCTCAGGAGTGAGTTCTTCTCTTACTACCCTTTGCAATAATTGGCATGCAGCCATTTGAGGCGTGGCTGGGAGAGTCTTTGGGTTTCTGGTACCAGGGTTAAGCTAATTTTGAATTGATGCCATATTATCATGCAAACAGTGGCACATGAACATTTAAAATGTCTACTTTATTATCTGAAGGTTCTGGAGATAATAACTCCACTTTCAGTAGAACAAGGGAAATTGGAGTTGCACGAGTTCTACAAAAGCATGTTAGAGGCACATAATGAAAAAGCAGTTTTTTTTTTTTTTATTATGTTTCTCCATATTTGGCATCGCTGTAAATGGCTAACTAACATTTACTGCCAATTCAGTACAAATGTGTGGTTTGGTAATACCAGAACAGCAAATTTAAATGAAAAATAAAAGTTAAACATTTCCACACAAAGATTTTACAGTCTGACATTTCACTGCTTAGGTAAAGACATTTTTTTTTTTTTTCCACAACAGATTATTATTCAGCATGAATAAAAAAAACTACAACTTTCATTTTTAAACAGGAGTCACTGGTTTTAATTTTTACACATTTTAAAATTACTGTGATAAAAAATAATGAAAAAGCTTCTTAATAATGCCATACACAGTATAATATAGATTTGTCCCCATTATATAGCATTTGTTTAATATACAAAATAGAATATTGACACACTTGAATCTATATGTAGATAAGCAAGTTATTTGAGGAGGGTATTTTCATACAGTCTTTCATCAGAAAATAAAATCTTTTCTTTCAGGCATTTTCTAGAAAGAAGCTAATCCTTTCCTGAAAACCTGGCCACTAATCCTCAGTGGACCTGGCTGACCGAGAATAGTCTGGAAAATGATGAAACTTCCATTCAAAGTGGTTTAAAATATTCTCTTTACAAAAGCTTTTATTTTCCCTTTCAACACTGAAATCAGGCACTAAGAACACATTCATCTACAGCTACAGTTGTCTGGGTGACCAACCAAGATGGAAATCTCACCAAGGGCTGCCATGGTGCTTCACTTTGGACAGATCCTTGTGCACTATTGTTCATTCTACGCTGCTGCAGTTTTAGGATATTTAAAAGGGAACTAAAATAATAAGATTCAATGATAATAGGTTGTACAGGTGGGTAAAATTGGAATTCTTAACTCCTACCCCCCAATATTCTTTAGTGAGGCTGACTCTCCTTCATGAGCATGCCCAGAGCTCATCCTATGCTATTTGTAGATATAGATAATAGTAGTTTTCCTTTTGGGATGGCCAAGTACCCCCCTTACCTCCCCCAGGACCAGGAGGTGTGTTTCTAGATTCTCCTCCTGTAGTTCTAGACAAGTAGGTATAGATCCCAAAGCATTATTTCCTTAGTTCAACTCAGTTCAGGTTGTATAGTACCCCAGAGCAAGGCCTAAAAATACTGAGTCATTTTTTCCCACCAGTAATTAAATATACTTTTCAAGATTTGTTTTGGAAGTCACCTAAACACGTCATGAACTCTCATGGAAGTGACTGCAAACAAATAAATAGTATGGCGTGGCAAAGATACCTCATACACAGAAAATGAAGCTGCTTTCAGATAGCACCATACCTTTTTTCACTTTAATCCACAATTATACTCAAACATAATTAAGATAACTGTCTTCTGTCCCGCATATTCTCATTGGGCACAGCCTCTTCTCCCACCTAATGAACAGCCTCGTATAGTTGTTTTATTTGATTTCCTACTGACAATAAAATGCACAACTGTTCTCACTGAACTGTATTTTCTTTAGAGCTAAAGTTGTTGGGGCCAAAGATTAATGTATGATATGCTTTCTAGTTTTAACCATATAACATTCTAATAAATGAACAATAATTTACTTTTCAGAAGCTCTTACTGAAACTTAACACTGTCATTGATAATGATATTCAAGCGGTATTTCATAGGCACCATAAATTTTCACATCCAACTGGGCTACAAACCATCTTTAAACAAACACCTTGATATCAATTTAAACAATTACAAAAGGAACATTCCCTTTTAGAGATCATTCAAAAAAGTAAATGATTACATTGTTTCATTAAATAATTTCTCCAAAATACTGAAAATAACATTCAAAAAAGCATTCAAAAGGTAACATAAACGTCCTCATTTTATTTGGAAATGAACTCTTATTGGAGGATAGAAAGGAATTAGTGTATTATTGGCAACCTATGAGATTCTGCACTATTTACATATTGCTGGTACCTCTATGCATATTATTGCCAAACTTCTAAAGCCTCTGTTTTTATATTAAATTGTTGGAGAGGCCATATGTGAAAGTAACCCTGCTGTAAGATGGTGCCTCCAAGTATGTAAGCACCACCTATCTGTCACGTTTACACACTTGAGCACAGGGAGAGTTAGTAAACTAACCCTGTGCTGGCAGACTCACTGTTGGAATGAGAAGGTGGTCAGAATGGGAGGCAGAGTAATTACGTCCTCTGTGATCTGACGGGAGATGGAGCCTCATCGACCTCACTGCAAACGGGGCCCGTGTCCATCTCCCTCTTCCCCTAGAGCAAACCTGCTTTGGTTCGTGAGACCATCGCTGCATGTATGAATGCCTGCACACACTAGAAATCATATAGGTTATCCATCAACATCTCTTTGACCCCTAGAAAAAATATATAACATGTCGTGATAAAACACTCTCATCTAAAAATCATTCTTATTTTACACTATACAAGCTATTTTACAATCATTTTAATAAATTGCATGTAAAGCTGCAGTAGCCCTTCCCTTCCCAGATTAGTGAATACCAATATGATATATATCTGAAACTATAACTAAATATAAAAATATATTAGAAGTTTCATATTTTTAATATTAGATTTTCAGTTTCCTATTACACAAATAATTTGGCCACTTTGAGTAGAAATCAAATTTCCTGTGGCTTAGTAAATATGTAAAGTTTTGCGTTTACAGAAAGTTGGTAAGGTGCACACAGAAAGGGCTACTACAGCTTCTAATTTGTTTAAAATGATAATTCTCAACAGTGGGGAGGAGAAATTCACAAGACGGTGTTAAACTCTATGGCACATGTACGGATGCGTAGTTTTACAAACATGGAAGTCTGACATACAGTTCTAAATCACAGAAATCAGTAGCTGAGCTTTCCTGTACCATCAGGAAAGATAAACCAATTGGTGACAGATGGGAATGTGAAAATGGGTGTCTAGCCACTTTTGCCATATTAGAGACTTGTTTTTTGGGTGAGTTTAGTAAAAGGATTTACTTGGTCTGATTAAAAATCTCTCAGCTGTGTTACAACTGGTTATCTGGAACCTTAACTTTAAAGACATACAAACTACTACAAAAGGTCCTGAAAGACAATTATTTTTCAACTTTCTTGCCTCCTAACCATTTCAGAGATAGGGTGTTAGGTACAAACAGGGCCCCTTGGCAGTTGGTGTTGTTTTTGTTTTTAATTAGTCTTTTGCAACCATCATCCACAGTTCACCAAGCAGGTCATTGGACTAGGTGCTCTATACCAGTTAGGACGGTTAATTTGCACAACCTAAATAATTTTCCACTGAAGCAGATATATACAAAATATGAGCTTTTTTTTGACAAGAATACTGGAGATTTGAGTCAATTTTTGTGGTCTGACAGCTAAGTGCCATCAGGTTAGAAGCACCAACCCATTTTCACACAGAAGATTAATGTTTAGAGTTTATTTAGGAAAGCTATGCACTAGCTGCCCATCTTAAACAGCTGTACAACAGACAACTTGAATACAAAAATTATGTAAGAAAAAAATGAGCAAGCGTAGTTCACTGAATATAAAGGAAATTGTTAAAACCAGACAGTAATAGCTATAAAAGGCACAACTTCCCTTTTCTGATATACACTTGTAAACTTTTTCCAGGTTTCCATGCAGAAATCAAAAATTGCTACCTTAACTATATAGGGAAAATATACCAACAAACAGAAATTTTTATCTAGCCAACTGTGAAAAGTATGAGCAGAAAGTCTGTCGTACAGACCTGGGGCACTGGTGGTTCAGGTGCCATCTTTCTGACACTGGAAACTACCCTACATGATTATTTCTAATTTCTGGGCTACACCAATTCATGAATTCCACTTCCTATTTTTCCCATCACTGGAAAGTGATGACTCAACTGCTTCTGTTGCCACATCTTGGCCCTCTATAAACCACATGTAGTGCGTATTTAAAACAAACAAAATGACAAAAAACGAAAAAGGAAAAAAAAAACCCACTATAGGACAAATTGATAGCTTGTACAATAAAAGCTATAAATTCAACTTTCTTAAGGCAACCTTTCTTATTAAGGCAGTCACTTTTGATGAAACAGAAGTTTTTTGATATTTCCATTTGAATATTTTGATATCTGATTGGTGATGATTTCAGCTAACATCTCTGGGAATTCAATACTCATGGTCTTATCCAAAAATGTTTGGAAGCAATAGTTAAGGAGGTTTTCAACCACCTGCAAGAGAAGGTATAGTAATTATTAGTATTAAAAATTGATCAGGAGTGAGATCTAATGTTGACCTCTATTTTTTTTTTTTTAATATCTGACCTAGAAAACACTCACCTCTACTGGAATTCACCCAAGTAAAAAGATAACCTAGTTAACTAATGGGCGCTCTGGTAGCATAGTGGCTCAGGCACTTGACTGCTAACCAGAAGGCTGGCGGTTCAAACCCACCAGCCACTCCTCAGAAGGAAGGTTGAGCAATCCTACTTCCGTAGTGATACTGCCTTGGAAACCCAAGGAGGGGTCACTATGAGTCGGGGCTGACTCGACGGCAAATAACAACAACAACAACAACAACAGTTAAATAATACAAACACTCAAGTACAAAAGACATTTCCTAATCTTTTTAAGTTGTATGTAGAATTATGAGGAATTGTTTCATGATGAACTACAGCATCATAATATATACGAAGGATACACTGTTCTAATTTTAGAAGCTAATTATACAAAAACAGGCAATTCTATCTTTTTTAAAAAAATAGTGCTATTAGATTCTGTAATAATACAATGTTATATGCATAAAACTAAATGAAATGATATTTTATAACTGGGCTTAGGAAAAATGTGAGTAAAACTAGAGTTCATAAATTCAATTAAAACCATTCAAGTCCACAAAGAGGAGTGGGGGGCTTTGGGGTATATATTATGCACACTCATTAGAACATACTTTAAGTTCCAGAACCAAACCAAACCCACTACCACTGAGTCCATTCTTACTCAAGATGACCCTATAGGAGAAAGTAGAACTGCCTCACAGGGTTTCCAAGGCTGTGAATCTTGACACACACAGACTGCCTGCCTCATCTTTCTCCTGGGGAGCAGCTGTTGTGCTTCAACAGCTGATCCTTTGGTTAGCAGATGAATGAATGGTTACAATGCCACCATAGCTCCTTAAGAAGTTCCAGAAAGTCTTTCCTACATTCGGCTTTATGTTTGCCACTTACATCATGCATGGAGTCCAAGAGCTTTGTCAGTTGATAAAATCGCTGCCAGTTCTGACTGGAGTTTCCTTCCCGTTTGACAATGGCTTTTCCAAGTTCTTTGATATAGGTCATTCTAATTTCATCAAACAGCTCTTGGCTCTTCAAGCCTTCTTTAGGAACTGAAAGGTTAAGATGGAGTCAATTAAAGAATTTTCTTGCATATATGCAGGTAGGTAGGGCATTAAACAGCATGCTTCATAACTCAAAATGACTATCATTCTAAAATACAAGAATGATTTCAAAGAATCATGAAACTTCAGCTAAGAGAATATAGGATAAAATATGGAGGACTTGTTACTGTTAGGTGCCACTGAGTCAATTCTGACTCATAGCGACACTATGTACAACAGAACGAAACACCGCCCAGGCCTGCGCCATCCTCACAATTGTTACGTTTAAGCCCTTGTTGCAGCCACTGTGTCAGTCCACCCTGGCGAGGGTCGTCATCTTTTCCACTGCCCTCTAACTTTACCAACCATGACGTCCTTCTCTAGGGACCAGTTCCTCCTGATAACATGTTCAAAGTATGTGAGATGAAGTCTCACCATCCTAGCTTCTAAGGAGTGTTCTTGTACTTCTTCCAAGGCAGATTTGTTTGCTCTTCTTGCATGCAGCACATGGTATAGTCAATATTCTTTCCCAACACCATAATTCAAAGGCATCAATTCTTCTTCCTTATTAATTGCCCAGCTTCTGCATGCATATGAGGTGATTAAAAATACCATGGCTTGGGTCAGATGCATCTTAGTCCTCAAAGTGGACTTAACCTTGGGTAAATGCCTTCATCGCTTACCTAAAAAATGGAGCTTACCCAAAGCAATCTATACATTCAATGCAATCCCAATCCAGATCCCATCAACATTCTTTAGGGATATGGAAAAAACGATCACTAACTTTATATGGAAAGGAAAGAGACCTCGGATAAGCAAAGCACTACTGAAGAAGAAAA